ATTTCCAATTTTATTGGTTCTCCCTTTCTGGATTATTACTAATACTTAATAATTTTCTTTGCAAGTCCTTGACACCAAGGTGGAGGTTTGTTAGGCAAATTGTTGTCAAACGACTTCCCTGGATAATAATGTAAGTATTGTTTATTTTAGTCAGCATCGACCAAATGACTGAAAGTATATCGACACCATAATTTAGTGAACCAATCACATAATCCACTTCAGCCATTTGAAGCAGCTTAATTTAATTAGTGCTGCTCATGGCCCAACCCAAACTTGGATGACTTTTAATCTGTTGACAGCCCACTTATTACTTCCTATTGGGCCTAACCCTAAAAGCCTATATTCAACCCTTATATATGCTTCTGCCCCTTACCGTTGAAGTGAGTGAAAATACAAATAGCTTTCATTGTGGTTTTCGCTACTATCTCTTCTCCTCTCCAATCTTTGTGGATGCTTTGTGGCTATAGTATTCTTCATCCAAGGTTCCTTTGTGGGCAGTTTCTTTGAGCAACCAGTTTGGGGTGGTGTTTGGTTTGTGTTTAGGTTTGACAATTGTCGTGTTCGGTCCAATACTGAGCTCGGTCTTGGTGGAAACTTGGAGTCCATTTCTCTACATCAAACATGTTTAAGTATGTTACCTTTCTCTTACTATTAATTAAAAAAAGTCACTATTTTGAAATTTAAGCTCATGATTTCCAACTTTCACCAATAAATGAAATATTTATTTTAAAACAAATTTACTTATAAGCAGATTTTATTATAATCCTGAAATATTTCCAATCCTTCTGAATTCAAATTTCAAAACTAAAAAAATAAGGAAAGACATTGTTTGTGTAGGCTGTCTAGGATATCTACTATATCCCTCCAGGTACCACATATACCCCTCAGCAAGTGTGTCTAAAGACCAAAATGCTCCTCCCAATAAACTCACAAGACCTATGGTGCGTAACTGTGACAGTCTTTCCAATAATTGATATTTAATCAAGGGCTAATTCGACTTTACAACAAAAAAATCACACATTGATGGAAAATTTTCATTCTTTACTCTCACAATGAGTCTACCACAGTATATTATAAAATCATACAGAACCCACATCATTGGCAGAGAAAATTACTTCTTAACAAAAAAAAAAATAATAATAATAAAAAAAAGGACCACACACATAGGCTAAGATTTCTTTTCTAAGCCCAAACTTTTTATCACGTCATTTTTCCACGTCGTGCATAGCACATTCTATCTGCTCTTCTCTATAATTTATTTTATGTTTTTGTCACCTGCAGATTTTCTTAACGAGTTTACATAAATCAAGTTTAGCTACATATTGCCAATATAAAATGTAAGTTTTTTTTATCTCACACCCTCTAGATCAACATACCAAAGTAATTTCACAATTGCTAGTTTTTTCCCATTTTGGCCAATTCACCCTTTTTTTTAATAACCGTGAATGTCCGAACTAGCTTGCGCGCACTTCGACTAATCCCACAGGACCCTGAAGTCTATGGCCATGTATTCATCTCAATGACTCTGAGGGGACTCGAACTGGTGACCATTGAGGAGCAAATTCAAGGTCTGACCAATTGAGCAACCCCAATAATGAATTCTTCACCACTTGAACTAAAATACTTTAATCATTTTGGCCAATTCACTTGGACTAAGGTTTTAGTGATTCCTGTTTCTCAAAGCATTTCCAGAAAGTG